TTTTTTATATTTTTCGTTTTCTTTTTCTTTTTTTTTTCACTCTGTTGCCGTTGAGAAAAGTGCTACTGGTTTTGAGATTTCGAGCCCCCAGAGTTGTCGAGAGCTTGGAAACCGCACGCGCCGCTCAGTCGTGTATCTTTTTTATGGCTTTGCAGAGGCAACTCTGCTCAGAGGCTGTAACAACAATTACACCAACAACAACAACAACCAGTTGTAGTGTTGTTGTGTTTTGCCTTTTTCCACATCATTCACACTCAAGTGGTGTAAGCTGTTGAAATAGTGGGTTCTATTTTATGATATCTCAAGAAGTTGGAAATACTAACAATATATTTTAAAAATATTTACAAAATATTTACAAAATAGTTACAAAATATTTACAAAATATTTACACGTTTTGTAATCAGTTTTTTTTATATTTAATTTCTTTTAAAAGCTTATTTTATTAGCCAAAAGATATATTTCTTTATTCTCCACCTTATGGTGTATTTCACTTAAAAGATACTACTTCTATCTTAGTTTCTACTTTAAAATGTAAATGATTTTTTACCTTTGTCTCACCTGATGTTCACACACACACACACACAGTCACACTTTTAGGCACAACATCTTATGCTTACCTCATGCAACGTACACTTATACACTAACCTGAGAGTTCCCTGCAGTACCTGTCATCAGTAATTCATCAACGTTTCATCAACAGCGAAGGGGGTGCTGTTGATGATTCATCGATGACAGCCCATACAAACTGTTGATGAATTTAACATGGGCATGTCCTAGGCTGTCATCAATAGAAATTCATCAACAATAAATCGATGATTCATCATCAATTCATCGATGTATTGTTGATGACACATCGATGAAACATCGATGTTTCATCAACAATTCATCGATGTTTCATCATCAATTCATCGATGTTTCATCAACAATTCATCATCAATTCATCGATGTATTGTTGATGACACATCGATGAAACATTGATGATACATCGATGAAACATCGATGAAACATCGACGATACATCGATGAAACATCGACGATACATCGATGAAACATCGATGAAACATCGATGATACATCGATGAAACATCGATGATACATCGATGAAACATCGATGATACATCGATGAAACATCGATGAAACATCGATGATACATCGATGAAACATCGATGATACATCGATGAAACATCGATGATACATCGATGAAACATCGATGAAACATCGATGATACATCGATGAAACATCGATGTTTCATCAACAATTCATCGATGTGTCATCAATAATAAATTAATTAAAAAACATAAATAAGGGACTTCATATTTCAATTCATTCACTTTTATTATATCCTCTTAAAAACTAACATAATAAAATTAAAATTATACATAAAATAATACAAATAATCAAATTAAAAATATTTCTTATAATAATACAAAATAAATTTTAAAAAATAATAATACAATAATAATAATTATAATAATTAACATTAAAAATTAAATATTAATGTATTGAAAAACGCTCGGACCACATTCTAACACGTCTTCATCCCTTTTCCTTTTTTTATGTTGCGCCTCCAAATTTTTTGCGCAAGGAAGGCTTTTAGTTAAACGGTTGGCAAGCGGCTCCGTTGCATCAACTTGACTTATTGCATCTGAAAAGGAAAATTTGGAAAATAAATTGATATCAAAATCTAAAAAAAAAATACATAATTACCTAAGAGTGCAGAGTAGAACTTCTTATGGTCTCGAAGCCTTTTCTTACACTTCGCACCATCGATGTATCACAATAGCTGCATGCAGACACGAAGTGGGAGGACGGGAAGATGTACTCAAAATAGAAGACAGAATTGATACGAAAGTAAACTTTTTTTAAATCTTTACATAAAAACTCACCTGATATATAATTTCAATTATTGAAAACTAAACAGAATATTTATATATGTATGTAAAATTTTTTTTTTAATTTGGCCTGCGCAGTGCGCACACTTCTCACTTAGTTCACTGTTTAACTGCAAGTGAAAACACGAATAAGCAATAGAAAAAAAGGACTGTGCCTCCAACAACAAAACGAACCACGATTCGGAAAAACGGATCCTCAAGTCCGTTTTTTTTCTCTTATTGTTCGTTTCGTTTCACAAAGTCCCGTTTGGCTATCTTGTGTCCGAGTGTTTTGCTTCCTTGTAAACAGGGTATAAAGGATATATCCGACGAGGCAACAAGTTACTTAAAATGTTATTGCAGCTCAAACAATTTTGTTCGATATGCAATTATTTTTTCATTCGCGTTTTATATTTAAAGAATATTTATTCCTAATACCATCATTATAATTGTTAATGATAATATATTATACACATAAAAATGCTAAAGTTCTAGGGTGCGAAACAGTTGGTTCGATTTTAATTGTTAACTTATTTGCTTTTGGCTCATCTCACTCGTTTGAAGAGTGAGTGAGGCAGTGAGATAGGCAATCACCATGGCAGCATTAGAGCGTAGGCTCCGTACAAGTCGCAGTCGGCAGAGCGTCGACTTTATAGAAGTCGCAGCCGGCAGAGCGTCGACTCGGTAGAAGTCGCAGTCGGCGCGTTGATGACGGGTTGATGACAGTGGCTATTGATGACACGCGGTACTGCAGGGTTGCTGGAAACCCAAACACACTCACATACAGATATCTATATAGGAAAAACATCTTGAGTTATCCACGCATAGGCCTACACCCCAGATCCCCCCACCCTCTCGATCAGTCCATCTCTGTCGCTCTCACTGTGTGTGCGTAATTTTCATTCATATTGTCAGCCAACGCGACGCAGTCGGCAGCGCTGTTGCAGCACAGCAACACTTAAAAAAAAAAATGAATAAATAAAGCAACAACATCTTGTTGTTCCACTTGATTTGGTGCAAAAAGATGCAAGAGGAAAATTTCATTGAGGGAAAAGAAAAGCGCAGAGCGCAGATAATATGGAAAATGAGCCGAGAGGCAAAAGCCAAAGCCAGAGACGGTGCCAGGAGACAGAGAGGTGATTGGCAAATTGGCGGCGAGGAAAATTACCAAGTTTATGCACGCAACGGCCGGAAAAGCGACGACGGCGACAACACACCCATTCGTGGAAAACTTGTTCGTCCCGTATCGGTACGGTACGGTTCGGTCCGGCGAGTACCGCAGCGTAGGCAAAAGCCAGCTCTTAACCCTATGAGGTATCATTGTTTTTAGTGGGTTAAGCTTAATTATTTTCATTGAAATTTTGCAATTTACTTCAAGAAAACGTATTTTACAAAATATAATCAAATAACAGTCAATTTAAATTTAATATAATTTTAAAATTCTTTAAATATTAACTATAGAGATAAATAATATCCAAAAATATATAATTTTAAAAATAATTATTTAAACAAATTCAAGAAATATTTAACATTTCTATGGGGTTAATGACGAGGCTGCTACTAAGAGGAGAGCCAAGAGGAGGAGGCGTGGATTGGAGGGGGGGATGGAGTGGTGTGAGTGGAGCAGGAGGGGGGACTCGCGCATTGCGGGGGGCCCAGCTGTCGCTGCCTTGGTTGTTGTTGTTGTTGTTGCCGCTGCTTTTGCCTTTGCCTTTTGCTGTGTTGTTTGTTTGCGCTGCTCGCGCCGTTTGCCGTTCGCTGTTTGCATTTAAATTTAAATGAATGAAAAAGAAACTGGCATGAATTCGCCTTCGCCTCGACCCCCGGAACGTCCCCGATGTCGTCCGTCCGCCTCGACGGCCGCCGCCTCCGTCCCTCTGGCTGCCCCAAAGCCCCCCCCCCCCCTCCCCCTTCTTGAACACGAACGAGCGCGCCTACAAGTTGGCATATTTTCAATTTCCGTTTTTTACACAAACACACCAATACACCAGAGCTCTGGTCTTGGGGACGGGGGACAGAGAGCGAAGGGGGCCTCGAGTGTGTGAGAGAGAGGGGTTGATTGGGGGGCAAGGGGCGGCAACGTCCGGTTGGTTTTTAGTATGAAAAGTGGCTCTCTGTCTCTCTCTCGAGCTGGCTTCTACGCTCTTTGGCTCTTATGCTGGGGGCTTGTGGGTGTGTTGGGAGGGGGCGAGGAGGGGCCTAGTGTATGTGTGTGTGTAAGGCCGTTCATCGTTCACAGCCATGTGGCTTTTACAACAAGACCAATAACAACAACAACAACAGCGGAGAAGCAACAACGTTGTAGCTGCTGTAATACTTTATGAATTGAATTCGCCGGATAGGCCGCACTCTCTCCGTCTCTCTCTTTGAGTGAATGAGTGATTTTGTTGCGGCGAGAGAATAACAGTGAGTTAACAGCACTGTTACTCGCCTCACTCTATTCGCCACAAAATGGCCAAAGATACTCGCCTCATTTCGCTTCAAAACCTCGTGCCGAGCGGTTCGATTGCCGCGATCCGATTCGATTGCCGCCGCGTCTAGTTTTCTTTTCGATCCGATTCGCTACGATTCGATCAGATCCACATACTCACTCTGCACACAGTTTTTTTTCCGCTGCCAATTACAACAACTCAACAACTACAACAACACCGACAAATCGCATCAATTACAACAGTTGCTAATTACGAGTTAAACAAAAAAAAAGAGGAAATAAATAAGAAATATTTGTTAAAATACAAAATTGTGGTGAGCGAAACAGTGTTCCCTGTGTGTGTTTCTATATTTTGAGAAATATTTTACCAAATCGCAACCCTTCCAATGCAAATCATGTGCCTAAAAATGCAAATTGCGCAAAGAAAATCAACGTGCGACACAAAAATATAAATTCAACTACAGAAATTACAACTACAAATTCAAATACAAAACGTGTTGGGCGAAGAAAAAAGTAAAGCATAAAAAAAGAATTTAAAATACAAAACAACGGCAAACAACAGCACCAGCAGCAGCAGCACACAAATATTTTTATATATACACCTTAATATATATATATATCTCCGTATATATATATATATATATAAAATTGCATAAAAATATTTTTTTACTCAACGCACACCAGCGCAGAGCGAGCGAGAGAGAAGCAGCGAACGAGAAGCACACACAGATACATTCGCCGCACGACGTGGCCCCCGTTTCAAGTGTATGTGTGTGCGTGTGCGTGTGCGCGCTCACCCAGCGTCGCCGCCGGCGTCGCCTGTTCTTATTATTATTGTAAAAATAAAAAATAATACAAAAAAACGGAATACAAAGTAATAATTTATAAATCCAAAATAATAAATGTTCCGAAAAAGCACGAAAAGAATTACTGAAATAAATAAGTAATAAGAAAATCAAACAAAAGTCGTCTCTGGCCGGCGTCACCGTTCGCGTTTTGTGTTAATTAAATTTACTTTTGTGAATGAAATGCGAAAAAAAGCCAAGCGCCAAATCATTGTTAATAAATGCTAAATAAATAAACGCACAAAAATACACACATGCAAAAATCTTGAGACCGAAAGCTAAAAAAAATTGAAATCTAAAAACGAAATCGACCAATAAAATCGAGAACCCAAAACCGAATTCGAACCGGAAAATCATCCCGAAAAGCCCTTACTTTGGATTATACTAAAAAAAAAAAACAAACAGCATCTAATTTTTTTGATAACCAAACATCGAAAAAATTAAGGATTACACAACATTTATGTTGATTAATTACGGAATTTCCCACACGGATTGCTTTTGAAAATCAAAGTAAGTTTCCTCCTACTTTGACTCACGTTTTGTGGCAACTATAACCTTCGGCTAGATATAGATACATAGATACATATTTGTATATACATAGATATTGCCAGGAAATGCACAATTCTGAAATTAATTGGCTCTACATCTATGTGTGTGTTTATTCCATGTGATTAATTTATGACTGCGTCGTGACAAATGTTTTGAAATAAAACATAATACAGGAAGATATAGCTGTGCATCTGTGTATATATCTAGTGTTTTTGATCAGGAAGAATTAGATGTTAGGCTGGCAATTAAATATTTTTATGGAGATCTGTTTATGGTTTTGTAAACACATTCTGAGGCATAGAAAACATGGGGAACATCGTTTTTCAAGTAGGTTTTACATCTTGGAAAATTTATTAAGGTTTTTGAAAATATTAAATCTTAGTTAGCAGTTAGCAATTGAATTAGAGGATCGTATTGTAAATCAATCATAACTAAGTTTACATTTCCATATTTAAAACCTTTTTATTTCCACCTAATATTCTGTATATTTCCTTTTAATAAGTCATCAAACTTAATTCCATTTTGAGTTTAAAAAAGGTTCTGCTACACCTGAAAAGCTCTAAGAAGATAATGTTACTTAATTTCCTGAAACTCCTTTTGCTTTAAGTTTCCCCCCTAATTTTCCTTACTCTATTTTCCATTTATAATTCCCTTTAATAATTCATCAATCTTGATCCTGTTTTTTTTGCCTGCCCTCTAGAATTTCATTGAAGAATACAAAACGTTCTATAGATAGAATCTTGCTTTGATCTCGTTTCGAGAATGCTAAAAATAAATATATATATGAATGCATTAACTGTCAAAGTGAAATCAAATAAATTTTCCTTTTTTATTTAATACGTATGTATATATAATTTATTTTGTATTTTTTTATACACACGAGAGTATATTTTTTTTATACGCTGGTCCCAACAAAATGTTTAACTGACATTTCAAGTTGTTTGTTTGTCTGGCCTCGTCGTTGTCGTTGTCGTCGTATTTACTGATCGCACCAGACAGATAATCCACCGAAATATGTGGCATTTTATTGAAAATAAATTGCTCTCCTCCGGTATTCCGATCTGCGGAGAAATTCTAGAATGTGAATTTTTTTATTTTATAAAGTTGTTTCATTGTTGCTGCTGCTGCTGCTCGATCGACTGATAATGGCGATCGATCGCTGAACGGATGGATGGATGGATGGGTTCCGATCCGATCGGATCGGATCGGATCGATCGATCGATCCAGCGATCGATCAAGCTGTTCCACAGAGAATTCCATTCACAAATCAGTCGTCCGATGGCTGGATGGCGACTGACTTTCAGAGCCTTAAAACCTTCTAATCAGTATTTGTCGTAAAACCTTTGGACACTTGACGAGTGTTTTTATTTTTCTAAACACCGCTCGCCCTCTCTCTCTCTATTTTTAAACATTTTTCTCGTCTTCCGTTTCGTGGTTTATTTAATCTAGAAAAGGCAGAAAAGGCACTGAGACAGTTTCGTCATCGATACTCTTTTTTTGTGTGGCTCGATAAGGTATGTACCTCCAGGTACTTAATACTATGCCTTTGCTTTCTTTTTCACGCTGACACACGCTCAAAATATCAGTCTCCCCTCCAGACCAGAGGAGGAGGTTGAGGCACCTCACAAAAGTACAACAAAAAATTGATAAACGAACGAAAAATATTTAAGTTTATTTACTTTTTGCTCGCTGTTAATTTTTGGGGCTAACGGAAACGCCTCGCTCCCAGTCGCCCGAGTCTCAGAATAAATAAAAAGAGGCGTAAAAACTCTTCAACCGATAAGTCCGGACTTCGGCGTGTTCATGTTAACATTTTTTTGATCGATGGTCTTTTGCTTTTTCTTTTTTTTTTTACGGGGGGGCATTTTTTCATTGGTTTTCTTACTTGGCATTTTGTCTGTGTGGTGGTTTTGGCTCGTGTCTGGGGCTTGAACTATTTTATTTTCCCTTTAATAATGCCTTGTGCTAAGCACTTTTACCAATTTTTAATCGAATTAAGTGGCCTCAGCTCTGGCCGTTGTGCTCTGAATTTATGTCATAGCCAAAAATACGAACGATACGACGACAAAAACAACGACGATGAGGTGCGGTGCCGGCGTTGAGAATACGTTTCATTCATAATGGAAGGAAATTCTCGTTGGTTTTGCCAAAAGAAAAAAGAAAGAAAGAACAACGAACAACAACATGTGCACACAAACCTATATAAATAAATAAATTAAATGCTTAATTTTTATTAGCTAAATAAACAGCTCTAGACAGAATCGAGATCCCACAATGACGTTGATGACGCAGACGCGAAATAGACAGCCCCAGATAGATGTGTATGGGGAAGTCGTGAAGGTTCTTACGGGGTACGAAAATAAATAAAAAAATATAAAGACAAATACATATATATATATAAAGAGGAAGCACATCTTTTGGGTTTAGTCAAAAGTGCTAAATATCTGTGGTGAAGCTAGTGATGATCACCTGTAACTTTGTAGAGAGAGCGCCACAGTCTGCTCACCTGATTTATAGCAATTTCGACTATGTAGCCTCCTTAGTGCTGAGTTATTTTGGCTAAATCAAGAATAGACTGAAAATAAAATTACACCAACAACAACAACAACCACATCGAGAGGGCAAAATGACAGCAAATTAATTGCATTCAACGAAACTATAAATAGATAATCACGAAACTGTTACCAAAATATAAGGCAGGCAAAATCTGCATATATATTGTATATATCCTATGCACTGACGACAACAACCGACGACATAATTGCCAGCAACTACAACAACAACAACAAATACAGAATCAGAAACATATATGTTTATATGTATATATATCATAAGATCAAGTGGGAATATAGCGAAAATTTTCACCCCATGTGACATTTACTGAACTCACTAAAGGTGGGGATGGGCACGCTTCATTTCAGATTTCAGATATGCTATATAGATAGGCATGTCACATACTTATATATATATATATATATGTGAGTATCTGTACATATAGTAAAGTATCTATAAGATACTCGCACTCGTGCTCGTGCTGTCTGCTTCTGCTTTTGTCGCTGTGTGTGTTTTGTGCTGCCAGCAAAGCAAAACGCCAAATGACAGCCCAACAAGAACCTCAACTCAACTCAACTGAACTGAACTCGGCGGCAACAACAACAACAACTACACCAACGATAACAACAACACCAACAATTACAACAATCTTTATGCCGCAAGCAAACATGTGATTTTCATTATTTTTGTCGTCGCACCGCAGCTGAAAAATACAACAAAAAGTGCCAGCGAAAAATGGCCTTTTTATTTTTGAAAATTATAATTTTTAAAAATAAATATGGCAACAACAACAAGAAAGCATGTTTGTTGTGGGGGCCAAACCACAATAACAACAACTGCAATTGGGGAATTATGAAAAAGACCACAATCAAGTAATTTCATAGTATTTGTTTTTTTTTTTCGTGAGTTTAAATAATTGTTTGGGGTCTAATTGTTAATTAGGCATTAAATGGTAGAGATTTTATTAGATTCTTCTTTAATTTTCCGAACTTTTTAAGATTTAAAGAGTGATTTTTTAAGTTAATTGAAAAGAAGGAATTTAAAGGAAGAGATAGAAATTAACCAACCAATTTCTGTGGGTTTTCTGCATAATTAAAGATAAAATATAGGGGCTGTTGAGTTATTTACGAATAAATTAATATAAATGACGCATTTTTTAAGGGACTACTTATCTATACATGATGATACTATATATTATTGATACATATTTATGTAAAACACTTTGAAACTGCATAGTTCCCAATAGTGCACACTTTGAGCTAATTCCCATTCATTTACTCTATCTATTTTTGCAAAAATTCTCTTTGCCTATATCCACTCGATGCGGAATACATGTTTAAGCTCAGTTTCATGGCTCTAACTGCGTTCTGAGGCTTTGTCTGGCAAATCTTGTCCATTAGCAAACTAAGACAATAACTGGCTCCCCCAAACCCCTCCCATTTTTAGATGGAATAGAAGCTTTCCAGATCAGCCCACGCCTTTTTGGCCTCACTTCCGTTTCGAGGAGGAGGTGACCACCCAAGTGGCGTTGGTCGAGCAACGCATACAAAACGCTCATTAATCGAGCGTCTTTAGAAATGGCCTAAACACACAGCACAGCAAAGCTCTGGCTCCTGCCTTCCCTCTCTCTCTATATATGTATATATATATATAAATATCTGTATAAATCGGTATATATATCCCACTATATGTGCGCAGCTAGCAAAAACAAATCGTTGTTGGCCCATAGAATTGTCGTCAATGAATGGCTGACGACGACGACGACAACATGATAAAGCCCAAGATGTCGACGACGCCAATGATGATGAAGATGATGATAATACTGATGATGATGATGATGATGATGGTGGTGGTGATGGCAGTTAGTAGTGTTGGTAATGATGATGCATGGCCAGGGATAAAGTGAGCAAAGGATGACATTCCACAGGCCAAAAGGAAACTGCTTATGACATCCCTTTGAATTGGAGCTTGTAATGCAATTGCCTGGGCGTGACCTTTGCCACCAGCAGGTGACAACTTGGACACGTCGTGTTCCAAACAAATGCGAAATACAAATGCCAGGACCTAAGTCTCCTCAAATTCAAATGGAAAGTCAGGGAGGTTAAAGCAAATACTTTCAAAAAGGGGGAGTATCTAAGGAGTATATAAAAAGTATCTGAAGCGTTTTTGGACAGTATCTGAAGAGTTTTTAAAGAGTATTCCCACCATAACTCATAGATACAATTTAAATAAAATGTAATTTCAATTTGAAACATAAATAATATAAGTATTTTACTGATTTAATTGAGATATTGCTTTGGCATGTCTATTAATCCATTGATAATCAAGTAAATATTATTTAAAAATATTTATATATACCTCAATATATTGATAACAAAGTAATACAATTTTTTAAAATGAATAAAGTT